ATAGATAGATAGATAGATAGATAGATAGATAGATAGATAGATAGATAGATAGATAGATAGATAGATAGATAAGCAGGCAGGCAGGCAGGCAGGCATATGTACAAACATGCATATACATGTAGATATAGATATACATACACACACAACCATACACAGAGAGAAAGAGAGAGAATATAAAGTGTGGTGACCTCATGACTTTGTAGGGGGAGTGTGTTTGTGTGTGTGTGTGTGTGTGTGTACACTATAGTATTTGGCAAATCAGTATCATATACTCTGTCCTGTACATAGCTGCTGTCTAGGTGAGATGTGCAATATGAAGGAACCGAACAAATGCCTGAGGGAAGACCTTCAAATGACCAAGGGCCCCTTGATTCAGGTGGCCTCCTTAATAGTTTACATTTGTCGATGCTGGCTGACAAATTATCAACACTTCTACTTTAAATAGGAACCAGGAAGGAGGAACCACAGAATCCTTCAGTGAAACTTCCTGTTCAATGGGCAGAACTTTGTGGTCTGTCCCAAGAGCTGTTCAAATAAACTTGGCTCGAGCACAATTGTACGTGATCGAGATGTATAGATTGAGTCATGCCGAATTCTTCTTCATCATTCAGATAATAAATCATTTCATAAATGTAATAAATAAAATCCAATTGCATCAATCATAGTATGGTTTCTTTCATGATTTGGTATGAAGAGATAGCATTTTTACATGTGCCACCTATAGTTAAATCCCTTTCTCCTTATTCTACCTGCACAGATAGAACCTTAAAAGGCCCGTTGCATATGCTCAGTTTCAATTGTCTCATGTGAACAATTCATGGTTTAATCCTCTTTGCTTTGAAAGGAAGGTTTATCTGGTCCATAAAATTTATATGAATACCATGCTTTAGGAAATTGTGCAATCAGATATGAGTTGCTTTCAAAAATTGGAACATTTAGGAATTAGAAAATGCAAAGATCATTTGTTTAAACTTAAACTCTTTCTAGCCCAGCATGACATGCTTTTATTTATGCATTTAGTCAAATTGTCTTAAATGATGAAGTAACACTAGGCAATATGCCACAGATTACAACAATTAAAACAAGGCCAGAGAAAAGATAAACCATACCAAAATCCATATTATATTGGGAAGGAATATACCATAAATACTGAGAGAATAAAATCTCAGTGAGACCCTGTTTGATGTAGTGGTTAAGGCTTCAGGCTAGAAACTGGGAGATTCTAGTACTGTCTTAGGCACAAAGCCAGCTGGATAATCTTGGACTAGTCACTTTCTGTCAGCAATGGCAATGCACTTCTGAAAAACCTTGCCAAGAAAACTTCAGGACTTGTCTGGGCAGTCTGCAAGATCTGACACGATTGAAGAGAAAAAGCAAAAAAATCTCAACATCAGTGTATTCAGGTTCACAAAACACCTTGTTCCTTTTTTGTAAGCCTTTCCTGAATGAGATCGGCCATGCAGTTATGGGGACAGATGCAATTCTGAACAGCAGGCAGACATACCATAAGTATACAGTATGTTTCCTAGATGGCTGAGTACTCCTAGTTGGCTGAATCAAGCCAACAGTCCGAGGACTCAGATTGTTGTTGGTAATATGCTCACTCTATAAACTGCTTAGAGAGGGCTATAAAGCACTGTGACGAGTATATAAGTCTAAGTGCTACTGCTATTGCTATCTTTTCCATTGTCAACAATATTCTTGGCTTGGTGTCAATGTAGGCTTTGCATGAAATTTAAAAGGAGATAAGTCAAAGCCTTCCAACATTGTTGGAAGGCCCTTTGTCACCAGGCTTGACTTTATATAAAGTTAATATAAAGTTAATATTAACTTTATGTAAAGTTATAAAGTTAAACTTGGTGACAAAGGTCATTCCAAAAACCAACAAATAAAAAGTGATGTTGTGATTTAGTGGGACTAAGAAGTTTCAGATTCCCAATCCTTTGCAGGTTTCACTGAGTGTCTTGGGGTGAGTCACTCCCTTTCATCCAACCTACCTCATAAAGATATTATTATAAAACTAAAAGGAGGGGTAAACATCATGTGTGCATTTGAGCTCCTTAAACAAACCAGAATAGAAATGTAAGAAATTCAATTAATAGGTAAAACTGTTTGTTTCCCCTCAAAACTGGTTCCACTAACTATCCACTTTCTGATGTAAGGCTTTCTCTCATCCGGATGGTATGGAAATCTCAAAAAAAAATTGAAAATGACATTTCCCAGGATTCCACAGTTCTGAGCATAACAAGGCAGAAGACAAAGCAATAAAAGTGCCAGAGAAGATTCAATTGAGGTGTGGCCGCTTTGTACACAAAGTCACT